ACCAGTTGTAGATTTCTCCAACATGGAGCAAACTCAGACAGAAACATCTTGCAAGTAACGTCAGCAGGCAAGCAAGCAAGTTAGTTTCATTTCCAATAGACAGACTCCGAGCTCAACATAGCTGCAGAGCTTAATTTCGAGCCATGACTAGGCTACTTCTAGTTTCAGTTTCCAAACTGTCTTCATTGGCTGACGTAGTTGCTATGCCTATTCATTGGCTGACCTTGTTACCAAGCTCTGTTCCAGTTCACGAATATATTCTTGACACGGGTTTCATGTGATCAGCATTTGTAACCTTCGCTCTGGCTTCCAACAAGCAAAGTGTCAACTCATATTTTGGGATAACTGCCTGACACAAAATTAATGGGGGGAAGCCAGATTGGCTTAACAACCATATAGTTCACTTAACAACTGATTTGCTTACCTGCGGCAAGAAAGGTTATAAGATAACTCACTTAAGAGCTCTGGTGATTGCTAGCAGTTTGATTCTCACCAGGCTCAAGGTTGACTCAACCTTCCATCCTTCCGAGGTTGGTAAAATGAAGACCCAGATTGTTGAGGTAAAGAGGCTGACTCTGTAAACCGCTCTGGCTGTAAAGCACTGTGAAGCGGTATGTAAGTCTAAGCGCTATTGCTATGGATAGATGGATGGACAGATAGGCAGGCAGGCAGGCAGAAGGACAGATATATATATATAGAGAGAGAGAGCCATGGTGGCACAGTGGTTAGAATGCCGCATTCCAAGCTAACTCTGCCAGCAGTTCGATTCTGACCGGCTGAAGGTTGACTCAGCCTTCCGTCCTTCCGATGTCGGTAAAACGAGGACCCAGATTGTTGGGAGCAAGAGGCTGACTGTGTAAACCGTTAAGGGCTGCAAAGGACTATGGAGAAGTACATAAGTCTTAGCACTATTGCCATGCTATGCTTTCCTATGGATGGATGGATGGATACAGACAGACAGACAGGTGATAGATATAGAACTTTGGTGGAGCTATGGTTAGAATGAAGTATTGGAGGAAAACTCTGCCATCTGCTAGCAGTTCGATTCTGACCGGCTGAAGGTTGTTCACTCACCTTCCATCCTTCCTAGGTGGGTAAAATGAGGAGCCAGATTTTGCAGGGGCAGGAGGCTGACTCTATAAACCACTCAGAGAGAGGCTGTAAAGCACTGTGAAGCGGTGTAGTCTAAGTGCTGTTGCCTTGCTTAGCAACAGAAACCGTGGACTCCATTGTAGTCATAAGTTGAGGACTACCTCTACATTGTTGTGTTGCTTTCTCTTTGGTAGGATTACTATGGAATCACATTCCCTGCTCCTGCGAACCTGACCAGCAGAGATGGAGCCCTTGCTAACAACCCTTACTCAGGTGAGGCAATGCTCAGGTATGGCTGTGGATCTCCAGTGTCCACGCCAGGCTGTCTGTTGCTTGATCGTGGCATTGCGATGGCTACCACAGTGGGGGAGTCCATGACTTCCTATGCCTTTTCTGTCAACTTCCAAGAAGACCAAACATTCAGGATCATATCGACACCATCTCCAGGACTCTTGCTCACCTGGTTGGACACAAGGTTGTCCATCATCTGGACTATCTAAGGCCCCTCATGGTCTCCTTCTATACACACACTTTCTGTTGAACCCGCCCAGAGTGCAGAGCAGGGGTGTCCAACCTTGATAACTTTAAGGCTTGTGGACTTCACACTCCCAGTTGGTTGATTGGGGGATTCTGGGAATTGAGGTCCACAGGTCTTAAAAGTTGCAAAGTTTGGAGACCCCCGTTCTAAACACTCGTTTAGATGTGATGAATAACCCCAAGCACAAAATGGTGAAAAAGTCATTTGGTGTACCGGTGGAAGACTTGAAATAGTATTGCTGGCTGGGCTTCTCACTCAGGAAGCTTCTTCAGCTCTGACTGGAGGGTGGGGAATGGAAGGATTTATATTCCCTGCAGACAGCTGGTTATTTGCATCCTTTTAGAGGGTCATTGAGACCACCTGGAGGTTTATTTGTGCCCTCAGGGTACTTTGAATGGTGCAAATGGTTCCTGAAGCCTGCAGTTTTTCTCTGGAAATCCATTCCTACGACCACCCCATTCCAAGGATGTCCATCCCAAATTGCATAGCTAAAAAGTCTGTAGAGATTCTCCATCATCCAGGTCATGGTTGTCCCAAAGGGGCTTTTTCAGGAGTTTCAACAACCCACTCAAAGGATGCAAATGACCAGCTGTTTGTCCAGAAGTATAAATCCTCCTATTCTTCACCATCCAGTCAGAACTAAAGAAGCTTCTTGTATGGGAAGCGAAACATCTTCCAAGAAAAAAACAAGAAATTCCAGTTGCCTCCTGAAAAAAGCACCTTTGGGACAACTCACTTAGCAGTGAAAATTCTGTTCCTGATTGCAGTCGTAAGTTCAGAACCACAGACCAGCTGGTCATTTGCATCCTTGTAGAGGGTCGTTGAGGCCACTTGGAGGTTTATCTGTGTCCTCGGGGTCACCTGAGTGGTGCAAATGGGTATGGAGCCTTCTGACTGGATGGTGAGGAATGGAGGGATGGATACTCCTTGCAGACAGCTGGTCATTTGCATCCTTTTTAGGGGGTCGTTGAGGCCACTTGGAGGTTTATCTGTGTCTTCAGGGTCACCTGAGTGGTGCAAATGGGTGTGGAGTCTCCTTGGAACTGCTGAAAGGAGCTGTGTGGTGGACTCTACACCCATTTGCACCACTCAGGTGACCCTGAGGACACAGATAAACCTCCAAGTGGCCTCAACAACCCTCTAAAATGGATGCAAATGACCAGCTTCAGTCCTTCTCTTCCTCACCATCCAGTCAGAGCTGAAGAAGTTTCTGGGGTGAGAAGTGAAACGTCTTCTTCAAAGAAAAACCAGAAAGTCTGGTTGCCTCTTGAGGACCAAAGAAGTGCCTTTGGGACAACCTGTTCAGCCATCGCAAAGAGGAACCGCCATCGTGTCCATCCCTGAACCTCTGTTTTGTCACTTCCTCCTTTCCTGTCCAGGTGATATTGCAAAATTTGGCCGCGGAGACTCCGCTTCGCCCGTGCCCGCCACCACCCTTGCCCAGGCTCAGCAGAACCAGAACCAGGCCCACCACACGGCTCAACAAGCCTTCCTCAACCCCACGTTGCCGCCCGGCTACAGCTACACTGGCTTACCATACTACGCCGGCGTGCCGGGAGTTCCCAGCGCTTTCCAGTACGGCCCCACCATGTTTGTAAGTCTCTGTCCTGAAGGGCGGAGTGGCCCTTGGTGCTCTCTGAGCTTGGTTGTAGTCTAGCAGGCAGTTTTATTACCCAGCTAGGGAACATCATCACTGTGAGGAGGAGGAGGAGGAGGGGAAGGAAGAGGGAGAGGAGGAGGAGGAGGAGGGGGAAAGGAGGAGGAGGAGGAAGGGAGGGGGAGGAGGAAAGGAGGAAGATGGGGAGAGGAGGGGGAGAAAGAGAACTGGGGAGTCCTAGATGCTTTCAGTGCTTGGTTGTTTTCTTGCAGACATTTCATGACCCAACTAGGGAACATTGTCAGGATTAGAAGGGAGAAGAGAAACCCAAGAATGTCCAGAGGCCTTTTGCAATGGGGGTCCCCAGAGGCCCCCCCAAGCTCTGACCTTTCTCCCTTTACCTTCCTCCAGGTCCCTCCAGCCTCGGCCAAGCAGCACAGCGTGACCTTGAACGCTGCTTCCACGCCCTTCCAGCAGGCCGGCAGCTACAGCCAGCACAGTTATGGAGCAGGTGACAGCTCTGGCGCAGGAGGAGCTGGGCGGGGCGGGGTGGAGTGGGGCTCCCTCTCCATCTTTGGGCAGGGCAGAAGGACCATTGCAAACCTGGCTCAGGGGGGAGGGCACAGGAGGAGGGGAAGGTTCACTTAACATCCATGTGGCTAATGTAAGAACTGCAATGGTTCAGTGAACAAACGGGAGAAGAAAAGTCATAAAAATGGAGCCAAACTCACTTAAGGAATCTCTCGCTTAACAACGTAAATATTGAGCTCCCTTGCGGTTGTATGGCGAGGACTGGCTGTACTGGTTTGATATCCTGCTTTTTTTAGTTTAGTTCTTTGTTTATTGGCCAAGTGGGATTGGACACACAAGGAATTTGTCTTGGTGCCAATGCTCTCACGGTACATAAAAGGAAAGAGACATTCGTCAAGAGTCCAGAATCATCAGGTACAACACTTAATGATAGTCATAGGGTACAATAAGCAATCAAATCAAATAGATAGATAGATAGATAGATGATAGATAGATAGATAGATAAAAAGAAAGAAAGAAAAGAAAGAAAGGGAGAAAGAAAAAGAAAAAGAAAGAAAGGAAAGAAAGAAAAGAAAGAAAGAAAGAAAGAAAGAAAGAAAGAAAGAAAGAAAGAAAGAAAGAAAGAAAGAAAGAAAGAAAGAAAGAAAGAAAGAAAGAAAGAAAGAAAGAAAGAAAGAAAAAGAAAGAAAGAAAGAGAAAAAAAATAGAATTCTTTATTGGCCAAGCGTGATTGGACAAACAAGGAATCTGTCTCGGTGCAAATGCTCTCAGTGTACATAAAAGAAAAGATACATTCATCAAGAATCATCAGGTACAACACTTAATAAAGTCGTAGGGTACAATAAGCCATCAAATCATAGTAGGAAACAGTCCATATAAATCGTAAATATACAAGCGACAAAGTTACAGTCCTACAGTCACAAATGGGAGGGTATGAATGATTAGGAGTGATGAGAAGATTAACAGTAATAGTAGTGCAAACTTTGTAATAGTTGAACATTGTTGAGGGAATTATTTGTTTAGCAGAGTGATGGCGTTCGGGGGAAAAACTGTCCTTGTGTCTAGTTGTTCTGGTGTGCAGGGCTCTGTAGCGTCGTTTTGAGGGAAGGAGTTGAAACAGTTTATGTCCGGGATGTGAGGGGTGTGTAAATATTTTTACAGCCCTCTTTCTGACTCGTGCAGTATACAGGCCCTCAATTGAAGGCAGGTTGGTAGCCATTGTTTTTTCTGCAGTCCTAATTATCCTCTGAAGTCCGTGTCTGTCCTGTTGGGTTGCAGAACCAAACCAGACAGTTATGGAGGTGCAGATGACAGACTCAATCATTCCTCTGCAGAACTGGATCAGCAGCTCCTTGGGCAGTTTGAGTTTCCTGAGTTGGCGCAGAAAGAACATTATATAAACATTATATACAGAACATTTGTGTTTTTTGGTGACATTTTTGATGTTAGGTGTCCATTTTAGGTCATGTGATATGATAGAACTTAGAAATTGGAAGGTCTCTACTGTTGATACTGTGTTGTCTAGTATTGTAAGAGGTGGTAGTATGGAAGGGTTTCCTCTAAAGTCTACCGCCATTTTTACGGTTTTGAGTGTGTTCAGTTCCAGATTGTTCCGGTTACACCACGAGGCAAGTTGTACAACCTCCTGCCTGTAAGCGGATTGTCATTGCACCTCGTACAACAAAGTTAAATGCCACCTTCTGCGTACGTTATAACTATAAAAATAAAACGCAAACACCCACCCTTCACATTCTATACAATTGCATTTAAAACCCCTGATCGCATTAATATTGCACTACACAGTAGAACTCAATATTTTTACTCCTCTGGGATAGAAGCCGTTTTTCAGCCTATTTGTCCTTTAGAGTTGAGCCACCTAGGTTTCCTTCTGCCCTTTTTTGTGTATTTCATCGAACTGATACTCTCTTACTTCTGTTCCATGTTTAGTTTTCAAGATGGGTATGAAGGATAATCATAGTTGTTATCGTTTATACCCAAGGAATGTCAATTTTGGAAGCGCCTGCACTTTGGGGCTGCGATGCTTGGTGGACAATTGCAACCATGACAGTAACCATGAAAATGGCCTTTCTCTTTCCTCCTCCCCTCCTTCAGGTTATGACGACCTCACCCAGGGGACAGTGGCTGGAGACTACAGCAAAGGGCCGTACGTTGCTGCCACTCAAGCACAGAACAAGTCAGCTGGCGGTGGAGCCGGGAAAGGTAATATGGGGGGTGCTCTCTTTCTAACAAAGGAGAAGATTTGGGGCTCAGGGGTGAACTGTGGGGTCCTTGGTTGCTCTCTGAGCTTGGTGGTTTTCTTGCAGACGTTTCATGACCCAGCTAGAGAACATCATCTGTGCTAGAAGGGAATGGGGATTATGAAGGAGGAAGAGGAGGAGGGAGAAGAGGAGGACTGTGGAGTCCTTGGTTGCTCTCTGAGCCTGATGATTTTCTTGCAGACGTTTCATGACCCAACTCGAGAACATCATCAGTGCTACAAAGGAGTGGGGTTTGTGGAGAGGGGGGAGGGGAGGAAGAGGAGGACTGTGGCGTCCTTGGGACTCTCAAAACTTGGCTGTTTTCTTCAAGACGTTTCATGACCCAACTAAGTAACTTCACCCAGTGCTAGAAGAGAGAGGGGTTCCTTGTTTTTGCGTTAGCGGCTTGCCCTGCCAGTGTTGGGGGGAAGTGTTCCAGGTACCCCATCAAGGAATTTCAAACTCAGATAGTCAAATCAATCAGCAAAGAACAGCCCAGTCAAAGAAACCAGCAAGACCCCTCCCACCAACCCTGGCAAGACAAGCCACCTGCAGATCAACAGAGAGCAAAGCCCCTCTCCCCTTCCAACACTGAGGATGGTCCCTAGTTGGGTCTGACAGCCCCTGTCCTGAAGACATTGGTCGCTTCTTGTTTTAGGTCATATTTTGAGAGTTATTTTGCTTTGATGCTGTTGGGCGGCACCTAAGTCAAATAAAATATAATATATAATAAAACAAATGGCAGGTAGTGCAAATATGGACTTCCACCAGTGTGGATGGAACGGCCACTGTTTTAAGAACTGACATTCTGCCCCACTTTGAATGTTTATATTGTCGTTGGTTCATTAATTTCATTCATTCATTCATTCATTCATTCATTCATTCATTCATTCATTCATTCTCTATAGATTTTATTTAAACCTAGCTTTTACCCAAGTGCTGTGATCAGGTTAAATGCAGAGTTATGAATCTGGTGGTCTTAACATATATATATAT